TTACATACACTTCCATATGCTCTCTAGACTCCGCACTTTAATTTAATGACAGTCATGCTAAATTTGGGTCTGCATTTGCTCTGAATGTCTATGCAGGTGGTGGCTGATGGTATGTGAAGAACTATTATGCCACATCAAAATTCATTCTGAAGTCTGTAAATACACCTTTTAAAAATGGAAACTAAGTACTTTGCAATCCTGGGGACATAAATCATGTATTTTTATTACTTCAAAAGACCACCAGACAATAAGCTCTGATATTTCTAAGGTGACAAGCAATTTATAAGAATAAATCACACTAGGAGTTCCATTACACTCCAGCTGATACATACAGCAATAAGGGTTATAAATGTTTATTCAGCAATATGTAACACTATTATAAAAACCTAGGCTTCTCTATTACTGATTTCCTATTCTATAGGAGACACCAAGCTCCTGTGAAAGGGGCCGTGCCAGGCTACGCATTCCCACTGCAAACAGAATGCCTGTATCTGCCTGCTCAGGGGCCTGGGGTTACTGGAGTCCAATGTGTGAACATGTTGGAATGTGATTAAAAGAGCCAAGGAAGCAGTGGTGGATGGGGCCACACTACCACATAACCAAGACTATAATCTGGAATAAATGTTCTGGAGAATATTGCACACAGGCGTGGGAGTTAGGAAGTCTGCTTGTTTTCGTAGCTATCATGACACCTTGGGACACAGCGAGCATCACCATAGCTGTACAGTGTCACTGACTGTCAAAACTTGGCACAGCGGAAACAGTGCCAACATTGGAGGTGGACTTCCTGGATCCAAATCCAAGTTTTCTGCTGAATGGTTTTATGCATTGGGTTCTAAGTCATCTAAGAATTGCTGAGACTCAGTTTATCCATCCTGGCATGGGGATACCGATCTTCTAGAGTAGTCAATTCTAAGTTGAATGATGAGATGTTCTCTCTGGAGTCCCTAGCCAAGTGTCTAACACCTAAAAATGACAGGCACTTGTAATGTCAGGTACCAGGCACTGTTTCTTGTTCTGTTCTGTGTATGAAGCACGTGCTGTTTAGCTGCTTGCTCATCTTACTAACTCTGTAGCTAAAGAGGTGCCTTTGAAATCAGCCCGTCCTTCTGTAGATGCCAAGCTCACTGTGGTTCTTCCTAGAAATATTTTTGGCAGGGAGGTCTGATTCAGATGTTTATCTTGAGACTGGACTTGAGTGGATTCTGACATCCTCCCTGGGTTCCAGCCTCAGGCTTGGCCCCTTCTTGACTTTGGTTTGGGTGAACATCACCTTGGGAGAGGCAGCGCTTCGACCCCCTGTACAGCACCCAGGAGTTAGCTCAGGTCTGCGGTTACAGTCCCCACAGCTTTGCGACCACCCCATCTCTGTCTCTGACGTTGTTTCATTCTTCCAATAGGGAGTTACTCTCTTTTTTTCCTACTTTATCATTATCCATTACCTCTCAGTGTCTCTCTACTTCTGTGAACATGAAGCAGCTTTGTCTTAGCTCATTTTAAAAATCAGTGTTTTCTCTTCTGGAGGTCATTTTCTTCATGCAGCCCAGCCCTCTGAAGATGTTAATTCTGTTTTGACTCTTGTAATCAGATTCCTTTTTGAATCCCTTCTGAATCCTATTGAAACTATGTGCTGGGCCACATCTTCTGATACGAAGAAGCAATCTCTATTTTGGTGAATCTGTCTCTCTGCCACCCTCTTCCCTGTTCTGAAACTGAATTTGTGATTTCTTCCATTTCTTTCATCTTCTGGAGACTCAGCTGAATGATTTTCCCCTGTCTGTTACCCACCATTTACACCATGCTGTGTCTTTTGTATGTGCTTTCGTGATGAAGGATAAGCAGCAAAGATAAGATCATGACAGTTTAATTTTCTGGTGCATTTTTCAGCTTTTGGGCTTCATTTTAGTTCTGCCAAAATTACAAATGGTATGAACTGGAAAGCAAATGTACTCTCAGCCACACCATGCAAGGAGCAAGGATGTATGACCACGGGGTCCAGGATGCTTGGCAGAGTGCAAAGATTGGATTAAATCTATGTAAGCAATTCTCCCTGAGGTTTTCTAAGCATCCCTTTGTCTATTTTTGAAAAATATCTTGATTCAAGTCCTTAGAATGCCATCAAACAAGGGGATGGCCTGTTTGATTTGCATCAGAGTAAGTAACTTCTTCAAACCTGGGTGAGCTGGGGACTCTCAGTGGCTGCAGAGAGACCACAGGAGGGTCCTCTGGGAGGAGCAGACAAGGATCCTTGACATGGACACAGCCATTCCAGTCAGCAGCTTGCTCGCCAGTTGTGGCCCATGGGTGAAGACTGAATTGCTTCAAGGCAAGTCCTAACCAGTTTCTCATCTTAAGGAATGGCTGGGCCCCTCAGCAGTGCAAGGCAGACTTCCCTGTGTGACTGTGTTCCTGTGAGTAAAAGACCAAGGTGATTTATCCTTTAGCGTCCCCTGCTCAATCCCTTCTCCTCAACTGCAGCTGCATATTTTAAAAACAGAAATAAGATTGTGTCCCTGGTCTGATGGAAGTTCGGGCTTCTACATGTAGACCCCAGGACCTGTGTCTTGAGCTTGGCTTTCAAGTTACATCTCAAACAGGCACAGCTCCTGCCTGTAACCAGTCTTCTGGAATGTACTTCTCTGTTTGCTGTGTTGTTTCTCTCCCCTTTCTCTGTTTCCCTTCTATTTCAGATCACAGATGGAGCATCATTTCCATAGCAAATCTTCTCTGACCTTCACGGAGGTCAAATACCCTTGTCAATGGGTGTCATGACCTTGCTTGAAATTCTTGTAGGTTTGTTTCAATCATTTGTTAGGCAGTTGAAACCTAGGATGGCACTTTTTCATCACTTTGCCTCTGGACTTGTAGCAGCTTTGGTAATATTCTTTGGGAGTCATGATTAAGTGATTCTCCCCTTTCCTAAATCTACAGAGAAAAATTCAGTCTCCAAAGTGTCCTTCTGGGTACCCAGCTTTATTCTCTACTTGGTGAATTCTGATTCCCCTTTTTAGATCAACCTTTATGATCTTTTTCTTTGAATTGCCTTTCATAGTTACCTTTGTAGTACTAAGAGGGGGCTTAATGGTTTAACTCCACAAGAATACATTTCTAGGTTATATAACAGGTTCACCAGTCCTGTCTGGTGGCCTATTTCTTACCTAGAGCCCCAGCAGGAAAGACTATTCAACTCTGCACTTCTGTGATGTGGAAGACAAGAATAGGAAAATGTGCTAAGCCAGATGCTGGCTTGTACCTTCTACCTAGAAGTGATACCTGAGTGCCTGCGCTCAGATTCCATGCTCAGTCATATGGTCAGGCTTTTATTAAAAGAGAGTGGAGGGGTTCATTTGTGTTCTCTGAAAATGGGTGAGATTTTACGGACATCATTAATCCTGATCAAACTTTCCAACACCTGACTCCTCCTGGGTATCCAAACTGTCAATCCCAGTATTTCACTCTTTCTGCCTTTCTCTGTCCCTTAATCTTAATACTCTGTGATTCCATCTTTTAGCTTGTGTGTTCTAGCACCATCACTGCAGTAATTCCTTGCTTTCCTCAGGATTCTGGCTCTGGGTTGGGTCCCCTGGACTCAACTGTGAGATGGAGACCAGCATAGGAAGTTGTTGACTACCTAAGTCCTGTCACCAATTTCTAGTGTTGTGTCTCATATCATGGTTACAAAACTCTTGCTAACTGTGGGTCTCTTTTTAAGATCTCAGTGACACAACAATATTTTTATTTATAGCCCTACAAATCTTTAACACTAAAAATGATCTGTTGCTATAGCAGTGTGTTTTATTAGAAATGTACTTTTCTCTTAAAAATAGATTTATGAATTTTCTAGTGAACCAATGTAGTCATTTTTATGCTTAGTTGCTGTGTATTAAGGGTGGTAGGACGTCGATGATTATCTTCATTGAAGCACTATTTTACTACCATTTTTAGCCAGTGTTTTTGAAGTAAATCATAGTGAGTAAGATATTAAGTGCGATGGGTGATTTTGTGTCAGGTATTTAACTTCTCTGAACATTGCTTTGCTAAAATTTATAGGTGTTTTTAGTTTGTTCAAGGTTTTGCACTTGTATCAACCTGGATGAGGTCTTCAAAGACACAGACCTTAGAATTAGAACTTAGAATAAACTGATGTGGATCCCGGGTTCTGGAGAGTAAATGCAAATCATTGGCTGTTAAATAGTGGAGCTACAAACAAAGCTCACATTTACCACCTTGGATTCCCAGCAATAGTCTGCCTTTGTCTCCATCTTTTAGCAGCAATTTGAATAAAATGCATCTTATTCCAGTTTTAAATGTATAATTTCCAGAAAAATATTCTCTCAACTTAAAGTTGTAAGTTATGTTAATTCTTATCATAAACTTTTATGGAAATGAAGATGATACTCTGACCTCTGTACCAAAGAGAATAGTAGTTTTTGTGGAATCAGCCTGTTATTCTATCACATGGGCTGGGTCCCCAGGTCAGAAGATGAAAGGCACAGATTTGCATCAGAACACAACTGCTGTCTGTTCACAACAGAGGAACAACTGGCTGCAGCATCATTTCCTAACAGATGGATTAGAGCATGTCTAGGCTTGACACATGAGCGGAGAGGAGCTAGATTCCCTTGGTCTCTCTGATAAAAGCTTCCCATGTACTGTAGATGCCCAATAAATATTAATTGGTATCAACTCACGGGATGCAGAACTCCTTGATTTTGAACACTTAAGTACAATTGCCTCCTTGGTGAGAGATGAAAAATTGATTTTGTCTTCATCTTTCCTAGACTCTTCACTGTTACATCTCACATGCATTTTGCTAGAAGTACTTTTCACTCAGGATAGGATCTAATGCACTGCTTAACCTGTGCTTGGGCTTTGGTTTTACTGTGTCTCTTTTTTTTCTCTTGACTTCAGTGAACATTCGCCTTTTGTAATTTCACTTTAAGACGATCACACTCTGGTTCAATTTCTTGACTTAACAGATTTCTTTTTTTTCCTTCCAGATATTGATGAATGCACTGCTAAGATGCATTACTGTCATGCCAATACTGTATGTGTGAACCTGCCAGGCTTATACCGCTGTGACTGTGTCCCGGGTTACATTCGTGTAGATGACTTCTCTTGCACAGGTGAGTGCAACAAAACGTTTTCTAATTCGTCCCTTCTCTGCACCATGTCTGTGTTGTTACACTAGCACCTAGTATACAAAAATACTTTTACTTAAATAATTCTCTTCCATAATTTCACCCTCGCATTCTGATAAAGGAATTAATAATAAGAGAATGTTTGTCTGCATAACTAATTTTCACACCCAGTATTTCCGCCTGTGTACGTTTGTGTACATGTCTGGGGGTGCAGTGAAACTGAAGTCCAGCTGCCTGTGGTAACACCGAGGAGCTTAGAGATATCAGTTCAAAAAAAAGAAAGATTCAAACATTTTTCCTTCCATTATAATTAAATGTTTTTCTATGTGAGAAATGAACTTTGAGAAAGATAAGCGTTACCTTGAAGTAGGCGGCAAGAGTGCTTGTTGGTCACATATCAGGCATGTGGGAGCCACTCAAGATTATGCTGCTTTATATTTTCTTGCTGTCATTTCCCACCTCTTCTCCCTCTGTCACTGAGCTTAGACTGACCTGGAGCATTCTGTGAACAGAGGAGGTCTTGGTGGGCATTTGCTTTGTAGTTCCAATGTCTTCCCAGTCATGTATCTGCAGATATCAACCTGATGTTGGTTAAGGGTAGTAGAAGATTGCAGGTCTTTCTTTGCTTGGGTCAAATATATTTAAATGCTCATTAGCACTGTAAAGTAATATAATTTGGGGTTCTTGTGAAGGTATTTCCCTGATTCCTGACTCTTTTTGTCTTAGCACTGTCGTATGAAACTGCACTCTTCCCTGGGAATGTGGTGCCACCTAATTTCTTTCTCTGAATGATCTTTGCAGAAACATAGAAAGTTGGAGAAGTCACAGAAATATGATTCTTTAGCTGTCTTCTGTTGCATGTTCCAAGTTGCTGCTGTTTAGGGAAAGGACGGGAAAGCTCAGAGGGAGCAGGGTTCTGAGGCTACGCGAGGCCAGCTGTCATCTCCCTCTCTTCTCTATAGCTGTTATGACCGTTAGGAAAACATGAGAGAGTTGACATTATAAGGGCTAAGTTTCTTCAGGACCAGTAAACAAGCATGTTGTAAAAACCTGTGAGGTTACTGGTGACTGTCACTCTTCTCACTAGTAGATGAAGCTCATAACTCAGCTTAACCCCAAGATGATGACTGTCTTCCAGAACAACAGCACTACATCATGAAAGTCACTAAACTGAGATAAAGGCAAGTTAAAGTCATGTCAGTGTGCCACTCGTGCTCTTATGACCTTGCTGAAGGGTGTGGGAAACCCTGTGTACTTATCAAACTCCTGGGAAAGGCAGGTCTCCACCTGGTTGTCTGTGTGTGGAACAGGATGGGAAACATGTTATCTGAGGAGCTGGCTCCAGCATTATTGTAGGAAGTGAAATGTGCTGTTTGGAATAAAAGACAAAAGCATGGATCTTGCAAGGTAGCCAAGCACCCCTTCTTGTCTGGAAAAGAATAAATAGCTCTGCAGGGGATGGGGGGGAACCCCAGCTTCACACACCTTTTCGTTTTGTGTTGCATGCAGTGTGTTTGCCTGAGAGGAAATGGAAATGTTAGAAATCACGAAGGAGAGGAAAATACAGGGAGAGGGCCCGCAAGGTGGGACCAGTCAGAGAGCGGGAGGCTGGTGCTGGGAAAGAGCACAGGTGAAAAAGACCCAACAGAAACAGAAAGGAGAGCACTTTTTACAACAGAAGCATTGGGCTGGGAGACAGCTCAGCAGCAAAGCACCTGCCTGGCAAGTATGAGGTTGTGAGTTCGATTCCCAGTGCCAAAGCACAGAAACCAAAACAACAGCAACAGAAGTAAATAAAACTAAATGAAATGAAGGCAGGCTGAGGTGACTTCAGTGTGCCACCCCTGCTCTTGTGTCCTTGGTGAAGGGGCTGGGAAACCCTGTGTACTTATTAAACTCCTGGGAAAGGCAGGTCTCCACCTGGTAGTCTGTGTGTGGAACAGGATGGGAAACGTGTTATCTGAGGAGCTGGCTCCAGCATTATTTTAGGAAGTGAAATGTGCTGTTTGGAATAAAAGACAAAAGCATGGATCTTGCAAGGTAGCGAAGCACCCCTTCTTCACTGGAAAAGAATAAATAGCTCTGTGTGTGGGGGGAACCAGCATCACACAGCTTTTTGTTTTGTTGAGCATGCAGGTGTATTTGCCTGAGAGGAAATAGAAAATCTAGAAATCACAAAGGTGCGGAAAATCCTGGGAGAGGGCATACAAGGTGGGGGCCAGTCAGAGAGTGAGAGGCTGGGTGCTGGGACAGCACAGGTGAAAGAGACCCAAGTGAATCAGAGAGGAGAGGACTTTTTACAACAGGAGTGTTGGGCTGGGAGACAGCCAGCAGCAGAGCACCTGCCTGGTGAGTGCTAGGTTGTGAGTTTGATTCCCATTGCCAAGACACAGAAACCAAAACAACAGCAACATAAGTAAATAAAACAGGAGTTTTAATGTGAAGTTCATCCACTGTGTCACTGTGCAGTGTGCCCTGAGAACTTCCCTCCTGACTCTGAGATATGTGATAAATTCCCCTTTTCCTTAATGAGGGGTACACACTCCTCCACCCAAGAGGGAGCACGTTGACATGGCAACTGCAGAAATGGTTTATGTGCCCCTAGAATGTGGGGGTCCCCCAGGGAACCATCATAAGATAACCCTTATGTTCCCTCTGTGGTCCCAACCCCATACACCTACTTGTGCACATGAAAGTGTGAGTCCTCACTGCCTCCTCTCGGGAATTTCAGAAATCTTCCTGAGGACGCTGGACTTCCACGGATCAGATTTTTTTAATGGGTTCACACTCTTTACACTGTATCCTTTAATCCTGTGTCCTTGTTCTGTTTTTTTTCTCCCCTCCCCACAGGAACACTGAATTTGTCTGTGGGCATTGTCCCCATGTCCTCCCTCTTACCCATCTGCCCTCCTCAGACCCCCCGTGGACTTCCATCATGGGCTTCCACAGAGACCAGATTTATCAAGGTCACTGTGAGGTCCACTTTCCTAAATCCTAGGCCTATATCTCAGCAGCACTGAGCATGGCATTAACTCACCTTCCCCACTGAGCATCTTTTAAGCATGGCATTAACTCACCTTCCCCACCCCAGCATCTTTGCTGGGCTTGTGGCATTCTGTGTCCTGCTCTGCCTTTCTATCATAGTCCAATCCTGCTAGGACTGCTTAGTCCAATACTAAGCAGTATTTCTGTATGGCCACGTCTTCCCGTGCTGACATTTGAAAGGTCACCGTAAAGCTCTTTCCTCCTGGTTTTTGTCACCTGTATTTTTAAGGTGCTTCTGTAAATCATTTGACTTGAGGAGAATTCCACTGTTACTGACACCTGAACTGCTCTTTCCAGCTCCGATATTTCTCCAGAGCTTCTGAGTCATAGATTGAGCTTGTCATCTACATACAGATGTGTAAGGAAGCATTTCATATGGAACACGTGTATGACAGAGGCCTTAATTTCTTTCCACATCTGCAAACCTTCTCTTCTTAAAATTCTTCCCATCTCAGCAAATGAAGGTACTATCTTCCCAGTTTAAGATGGGAGTCCAAGGGTTCTGCTTGATTAATCTTCCTCCCTCGTGGACAGATTTGATTGCTGTATCATCAGCCTTATTGATTGTGCTTCTCACCCTGTCCTCAGCCTGTCCACTTCTTTCTATTCCCCTGTTACCATCCCAGTGGACTTCTGCAGTAGTCTCTGCTCTAGTCCAACTCCACTATATTCCATTCTTCGCATAGCAGAGAAACCAATTAAAAAATAGAAATCACACAAATGCTTAAGATACTCATGCATGTCTCACCAAACAGGAAATCAAACCCTTACTTTATTAGTTTGACTTATAACACCAGGTGATTCCCCCCTTCTGCCTCTCTGACTCTCTCTTGCACCATTTGGCTTTTTCTCATTATGAGATGATGACCCTGCACCTTGTCTTCTCCATTTAAACCTTTCTTCTTCCTCATTTTCTTTGCATGCACTGTTGTTCCTTCTCGGAACTCTTTTTGTCTTGATATTTACATAGAAGGCTTTCTCTTAACATTTAGATCTTAGCCTACAAGTGGCTAACAGTGGTTCAGAGAGGCTTTTATTTGTGAGTATAAATAGCCACCCATGTTTCCTATGCTGTACCACTTGATTTTATTTCTCTAAATGTATCTCATCACTGTCTGCCTAGCGTTTATGTTATGTGTGTGTATGTGTGTGTGTGTGTGTACATGCGTGTGCACATTTTCCATCAGACTCAGAGCCTCACTTCATGCATATCAGCCAAATCCTCTACCTCTCAGCTCCATATCAGCCCTGAAATTGTCTCAGTTGTAAGTGGTTTTTATTGGCCTCTCTTCACTAGAATGTAAACTCTGAGAACAGGCATCTTTTACTTTTTTTTCCTGCTGTCTCATGACTGTCTAGCACATTGTCTGTCATACAGCATCCAGCTAGTATTTGCTGAGTTAAGCAATTCATAAAACTAAAGGACTTTCTTATTTATAAATATCTCAATGTGATCATTCTTTATATCTTTTTTTGAAGTCCCACTAGGTTTTTGTTCTTCTGTCTCCATCAGTTTTATCGTGTTGTACCTTACTGGATTTTATTAGATGTGATAGTATAAACATTCGTTTTCTGTTAGTTGGTTCTGAATACCCTGTAACACTTTCATTGTCTTGAATGGTTTACACTGTCTTGTTATGTTTGATACTATAGTGTATGAAGGTATACTCAAATATTTCAAGGAAAGAGACACTATGGTAGCTACTATTATGTCAGGTTGTCTTGTGGTGAAACACTATGTTGCTTAAATTGCTCTGTTCTGATCTGTTTTGTTACGTCCTCTTTTATTTTAATCTTTTAAAAAAATTGAAAAACTGCAAAAAAAAAAATCCCTAAAGGACCTTGTGCAGATTCTGTGCTTCTCAAAACTTCATTTATGGAATGTTGCCTGTATCTGCCATACCTATAGATTAGTGTGAACATCAGTTAGTAATAAGACG